ATGTCTAATAAATTCTGACAAGCAGTTTTTGTTTTGAACTCTTAACAAAGTTGTGAAGAACATAAATGCTCATTGTTTAAAACATTGTTTTGTAATATACCCCAACAAATAAAAAAAAAAAAATTCACTTTTTTTTTCACTATTCATAATTGTGACACTGTCTTGTAGAGAACTCACCTGCTGCGGGAAGTACATGCATCATGGTGCCAACAAAGAGAAATAGTAGCAAATGGGAGCTTATTTTTGTATTTTGTAACTCTTGTTTAATGATTGATTGATTTAACCTACTATTCATATTATATATTAAAATACTTAGTTTTAAAAGTTATATAATGCAATATGAAAATTTTTTATTTGTAAATTTTATTATATAAGAGATAGTTTGGATATATAGGTGCTTAACATATATTGCATGGAAAATATTAATAATGTAATGTATAAGAGTTCTTGTACACGTTATGTTTTACAAAACCAGTTCAGAGGATATAAGATCATACAAAAATACTTTTATACTTGTTCTCCTACTAGTGCTATATTTTTGATGTGAAAATGTATGTTATAATTGTTACTCATTCCCACACAACAATACCTCAAAACTTGAATCACATCCTTTCTAATATAAGGTGACCTAACCTAAACACAGTAGTGGCAATACTCCAAATAAGATTGGACCAATACCTTTTAAAGTGAACTGATGACTTTCTTTGACTTGTACTAAATATCTCTCTGTATAAAATCTAAACCAGTTTTTTCTATTATCAACTAATATATATTGTGTCGGAGTTCAATAGTTGTACTCAAATTTTTCCTCATCAACTTCACTGAGAGTTTCCTCAGCAGGGCTATAAGAATGATTAATATTATAGTAAACAAGTTGCATAACCTTGTGGGTGTGTGTGTATATATATATATATATATATTTATTATTATTAAAAAGAATCTGCCAGGTATTACCTCGGTTTACCAAATAATCCAAATCTTTCATTTTTTTCATTTATACAGTCACTTATCATCAAAATCAATAGTTTAAGATATGTTTATGTTGAAATTCTCTACCCATATTAATACTAAACTTTTTTTCCAGCAAACTATTTATTGGTGGCCTTAGCTGGGACACAAGTCAAGGTAATTGTTTTTGTGTCATTAACCCTAAATTTATGATTTAAATATGCCTACATTGGTGAAAACAGCAAACATCCTTTCTCAAAAAAGGTTAACTTCAACAACCAGTTTGGAAGTAGTGTAAAAAATTAATACTTTTGTTTATGGTTTTTTAACCTTTTTTAGACCCAATGGCATAAAATGAAAAGTTAAAAAGTAGTGCTGCTGGGACTGATAATGTGAATACTTATCTCCACATTTTAGGAATTTTGGGCCATTTAAGTTTATTTATGGTTATTGTATTTATATGTAGGAAAGTCTTGGAATTGGCATTCACACACAATCTTCAAGTTACTGGACCAAGCCTGGGTTGAAAGAGTTAATACATATTTGTAGCAAACATAAATTTTAGCACAAAGAACTTTAGTAGACAAGAAGAATTTAAGAATAAATTTATTGTTACATGTTCTTTATAACTTATTTATTGCTTGGTTTCTTAGTGTTACATAATTTGAAGTCTAAATGCTTATTAACTTTGGAGCTATAAATAAATATAAGTAAATTTCGTGGTACTGTTGAGATAGAAGCTTGAATTACACATGAAAGAGTTTTAGGAGGGCTTTGATGTTACATTTCAGAAGTAGCTTATGATTGAAAGATTGCCAGCATGTTCCTGTTTTTTAAATTGATGGGTGATGCAAATATTACAGGCCAGTTCAGTTGTTAACAAGATGTTAGAATCTGTTGTAGGAGACTTTTTGAAGTTAGTTTAAAGGTTTCTGAGAAGTAATTTTTTTATTATTATTATTATTATTATTATAAGAGCACAACAGTAAATATTTATGAAATTTCCTTGAATAAAGTGTCACAAAAAAGAGTAATTAGTAAGTTGCTTAGAAAAACTAATATTGTTCAAAAAGGTCTCGTACTCAGAAAAACTAGTAAAATTATGCATTTGGAGTATATTAAAGTTTCAAAAGAGGTTTGGTGTGACAGGAGCTTCATTGTGAAAAAAATATTTTTTTTGTATGATTGTTGGTAAGATATTAAGCCTTCTGAGCATACTTGCGTGTAATGGGAAAAGCTAATAGCTCTGGGATCACTTTGTAGAACTTTTGAACTTTGAGGTAAAAAGGTTATTATAACCTTGTGCGTGCGTGTGTGTGTATATATATATATATATATATATATTGTTGGATCATGTTTATAAGAACAGGCTTGTATATGGTCTGAGCTTGGGTAAATCCATGACACTACCAGCAGTTGGTGTATATGGTAGCCATATCTTTAGAGTTTCATCTCACTTTCCACTGTAGTGGCAAGCAAGCCTTGACATGTGACCGTCTTCTATGTCTTGGCGGATCTTTGTTTGATTTGTAATAAAATTTGAGCATCTTTTTCCAGTAAATAAAGTCAAAAAGTGTTGTTTGGAAGTATATGGTGTTGCTTTTGGTTTTTTATTTTATTTTATGCAGAATAAAGTACCATATGATATCCTGTCATTACTTTGAAACATTTGTGAAAGGTTTTTTATATTGCTTGACCCACTTTTCATGATATTTTGCACACCATTTTGATAAACAGTTACCTAGGTGGTACTCGTAGAGCTTGCAAGCATTCTCATTATGTTTATACAATGTGTTGAGTAAGGAGCTTATAAATTTTGGCCTTATGGCAAGCTTCGACAAGTCCCGGGCACCTAAAAATTTCATTGTGGCACCAATTTTTTTTTCCCCATTTTATTTGCATGTAGGGCTGTGCTAAATAGAACTTAAATCTGGAACAGTTCTGGACTCTTGAAAGTTTGGAATTATATACTAAATCGAACTGTGTTTTTAGGATTTTAATGGTGGATTCAGCACTTCTTTGTGTTTTTTCAAGATGAAGCACTGCGGTTGCATTTTGTTTTTCTTCTTTCTCTCAATGCAACCAATCAGTGCATGTGTTTAGTTTCAGACAGGATATTTTGGTTACATAGCTATGATATGGTAAGACAGGCCTCGACAAATCCCAAGCATCAGACAGGACCAAAGGCAGTTAGTTTAGGTTATATTATCAACTGATTGTTGATCATCAGAATGCACTTGTTGCTGTGAAAGTAAATAAATATACACTGGTGTTCGATTCTACATGCTGGTCTGGGGAAAGCAAACAATCGTGGATAACAGAAACAGCAGATAATTGAGACACTAGTGTATCTTGCTAGTTAGCCTATTGTTTGATGTCAATAAAAAAAATTTAATTGATTTAAGTTCCTTATTTTAAATTATAATTTTTTTACCATTATTTAATCATGAAAGCCAAGTGTCAGTTGATCACACTTAATTTTTCCAAATTTCATGAGTTACACTAGTCCAATTCACATTTTCTCCTATAATACTCCCTCTTTTGATTGACCATTCCTGTTTTAATAGAATTTAATTGCTAACATTGGCATAAATAGCTCCTAAATTTTGTCACTTTTTCTGCAAAAGACACGGAAGTGCATTCGCACCCTATCAACACCTGTGAAAAATAAGTAAACAATTACTGCACATTTATGCTTGAGAATTATTACAAATAAGTCTTTGTTAAAACAGACTGAAGATACCAATTATCTGTAGGGAAGAGGACAATGCATTACTGGGCAACATTCCAGTACAACCTGAACATGCATCTGTGGTTAAAGGACACCCGCCATACAGCATAGAACAATGGACATTAACTAAAGTGGAGTGAAATCTTTAAGAAATCTTAATGTGTATTTTGTATATTATGTCTTTTTAATCACTAATCAAGTAAACTAAGTTACAAATATTTTGTATTCCTGTCCTAACAGCTAAAAATAAAAGTGACAAGGCTAGGTTTGAACTGGCCAACTTACAACATGAATGCATGCAAGATCCTGCATGCGAAAACCCTTGACATCATGCAACACCTGAACATTTGCAACCAAAATTAATTTGTGAGCAACAATTTCTTCAAAACATGTAAATTATCATCTAGGATTGTAATGGCACAATTATTTTGAGAAAATTTGGAGAAAAGAAAGAACTACTGGTAATTGAGGATAACAAGGGTGTGGATAATTGAGGCACTAGTGTAGCCCCCCATTTCCCAGTTTAAACAGTAGTAAAGTTAGGTTAGGCACACATGGCTCCTGAGTTTTAGGGCTGGCTCCTAGATCAGAAAATGTTTGTCAAGGCTTGTATTATGATATTTTTCTAATGCAAAGTTTTGTGTGACAATGTAGGGGACTGTAGAGTATACAATGACACATTGACAGTAATTTCATTTTGGCAAATATTGCTGATGGCTGACTTAAACAGCATAAAATTGTACATTTTACACTTTTTTATAATTTAACATATAAATAACCTGCATTGGATGTGGTATGTTATGTACATTAAGTACAACTACAGACCTAATTTTAAAAAAAATGTATTAGCACTTTCCCAGTAAAAATGAGAATGTGATTGTTTTAGCACAATTAAAGAATATGAGGTGCAATTTGTGTTAAAGTTAAAAAACACTGGTGAGGAGAGTAGTGTGTATATCTACATGGGAAGCTTAAATTAAGCTTATTACAAATTTTATGATTTTTACATTAACTTTTTCACAACACAATTTAGAATCACTGTCATAGAGTATTTTGGTTCAAAAGAAAATGAGTTAAAAAATGGAGTAATTGATTCAGGTTTGATTCTGATGTTTAAACTTTTTATGTCTTGATTGTCTATTTTAGTGGTGCAATAAAATAATTGAAAAATCAGATTTCTCTTTTTTGAAGATACTTACAGAGCTTTAACACTTGTGTAAAGGATTGGTTGATGATGTGGTATGTGTAAATCCTTTTAAACCTTGTTGGAATGTTTAGAAATACTAAATAGTATATTTAACTTGGTGTAAGGTACTTTTGTTCATTATAGTGATGGTTGAGGTGGCCTGGATGGGCTGAATACCCTTCAGTAGCTATACTTTTAGGTGTTACTGTGTTCTTGCTAATTATTTTTACTTTTTATAATGTTATTGCTTTGCACAGCTATTGATCACATGTACTGTGTACCGTAACTATTTTCTTTTATTACCTGCAAGTACAGCTGGGGAATAAGAATTAACTTGGTTAGCTGGTTTTCTGTACAGCTAGAATCTCCTGGGAATTTTGTTTCCATTTGCTTTTTCTTTCTCTCTCTCTCTCTCATTTCTTTTTTTTTGTTTATTTTGTTGTTTCATAGTAATGGTATTTTTACATACATACATTCATATCAGAAGTAAAAAATGTAAAGATAATTAAATTTTCTATTAAAAAAGCTGAAGATGCAGATTTAGTAGATCTAAAAAGCTGACTTAATTTTGTTTTACTACAGTTGTGAAATTCTCAAGGAGTGCTAAAATTAAATAATCAAGGGTATTTAGTATTGCAGGTGTTACTTTACTTTCTCTAATTTTAGAATACAAGATATGTTAAGTTTTTTTATTGAATACAGTTTTAGTGTAGCATTCTTAAAGCTCACAGTAACAACTAGCTGTATAGCTCAAAAGATATTCATTTAAAGCTGGTTTTTTAATTTTGTTGGCTATGTTTTGTGAAAAAAAGAGCTTTTCAGTGCATTCTGTTGTCTCAAGTTCATCATTCAAATTGACTCTTGTTTATGCCATTACATGACTTGTCACTTTCTGTTATAGTATTTTGATTGTTTTCATATTTGTAATAATAAAATTTTAATTTTATATCTTCTAGAGAATCTTAAGAATTATTTCAGTAGATTTGGGGAAGTGGTTGACTGTGTGGTTATGAAAAACAATGAAACTGGTCGCTCCAGAGGTTTTGGATTTGTGACCTTCAAAGACCCGGATTGCGTTTCCATTGTCTTAGCTAGTGGGCCTCATGAATTAGATGGACGTGTGGTATGTACAAACATTGATTTTTGTTGATTTTATAACCAATTTAAAAGTTTTTCTTTTGGGTGCAGAATTGTTTTGTTCCTCTGATTTAATACTCTTGTTACTAATTTTCTGTTTTAAATGTATATTTTACACTAGTAACTAGGTTGCAGAATACAAGGTAATCTCATTTAAAGCCTTGATTTATACAGAGTTTTCAAAAATAGGAGTTTAGGTGGTGATCTGTCACCATCCGTTGGCATCAAAATTGTCACTGATAACATAATATTGCCTGGATGACTTGTGGCCTACTCCATTGCATTATTTATAGTTTTGCTATCAATTTCTTCCCTCATACATTCAGCTTACAAGTGGTGGCATATATTACTGTAACATTTTTTTCAGTGCTAATAGGTATGTGTATTAAAATAAAATGTAGAAATTTATATGAGTAATTTACCAATTTGTACATTTTAACTGGGTGTTGTATATCAGGCCTAAAATAAAATTTTGTTTGCTGTTGGCAATCAACTTACCACAACAGTATGATTTTTAAAATGTTGAGGAGAGATCAAAATTAAATTTTTTGTTACTTTGTTTTGCTGAGGACACAAGAAGAAGGTATGGTTTTGAATGTAGTTAGTTTTTATGTTAATGAATTTTGCAATGCAACTTCAAAAGGAAATTGGATTTTTTAAAGGTCTTTGATCATGGTAGATTACAATAGTAAAAAAAAAAGAAAACATAATTGAACAGTTATTGTTGAAACAGATTGTTTAAAAATGATAATTTGCTGAGTAAAGTAATAAATTCATTGTAAATTATATTTAAAAACCAGTTATTTGATATAACTTCATACAAAAGCTATAGTTGTATTACTCGGAATATCCGCTTTATGTTAATACAGTGTTGTCATCTGCACTTGCAATCATGAAACTTTCAAATGGGACTTTATATTTAGAATCTACTCCAAACTGAGAAAGCTAAAAAAATGCTGATATTATGTAAGCTGGATTTTCAAAGAAAATTAGAATATTCTCAATTGCATAAATGTTCAATCTCTTTGCTACGGCAACCCTAAATCAGTTCAGGTGCAAAAGATTAGCTTGAAAGGTCACAAAATTAATGTAATGGTCTTTGTCTGTGTGTAATCAAAGGGTTTAACTTAGCTTCAGAGTAAATGCATCTGTTGAAGCCACGACTCGCATAGTGATATGACAAACCAACCATAAAGACCAAGGGGCTTTCCAAATAAGTTATGGATAAAATGGTAGAGAATGCAGGATCAGGAGAAGGTTACAAGAAAATTTCAACGTCACTGGTTATCCCTTTGAATATGATGAAACCCATCGTTAAGAAGTGTAATGTGCTTCATACCACCCAGTCACTACCCAGATCAGGCCACCCTTCTAGACTAAGCAGCCGGGCAAACAGGAAACTGGTTAGGGATGCCACTGTGAAGCCAACAGTGACTTTGCGAGATTTGCAAAGTTCCATGTTTGAGATGGGAGTCCGTGTTCATGCATGAACAATATCTGAATCCCTACACAAAACTGGCTTGTATGGGTGAGTGGCAAGAAAGAAGCCATTACTGAAAAAAAAATCATCTAAAATAGTGCATGAAGTTTGCAACAAAGCATGTAAATGATACTGCAGACGTGTGACAGGAGGTTTTGTGGCCAGACGAGACAAAAATTGAGCTTTTAGGTCTAAATTCAATGCATTACATATGGCACAATCCTAACATAGCACATCACCCAATCAACACCATTGCAACTATCAAGCATAGTGGTGGCAGCATCATGTTATGGGGATGCTTCTCATCAGTAGGGACTGAGAAACTTGTCAGAATTGAGGAGGAAGATGGATGGTGCAAAATACAGGTGAATGCTGGAGGAAAACCTGCTTGAGCCAGCCAAGAATCTAAAACTGGGTCAAAAATTCACATTTCGGTAAGACAATGACCTGAAGCACAAGGCCGAAGCCACACTGGAATGGTTTCAAAAGAAGAAAGTGAATGTCCTGGAGTAACCCAGTTAAAGTCCTGACTTGAATCCAATAGGAGATTTATGGCAAGACTTGCAGATCTACGATCCCCAACAAACCTTTCAGAATTGGGGCAATTTTGCCAGGAAGAATTGGCAAAGCTGGTAGAGACCTATCCAAAGAGACTCACTGCAGTGGTTGCTGCCAAAGGTGCTTCCACCAAGTACTGACTTCGGGGGCTGAATACTTGTACATTCAGCAGATTTCAATTTATATATTTTCCTTGCAGGTTTTGCTAACATTCAACCTCCTTCACACATAACAATGTTAAGTTTGGTCATTAGAGTTTTGAATAAAAACAACTTCCTAAAAAAATATGTTTACATTATTTGTATTTCATCAAAATGTGACATTATTGGTAGGGGTGAATACTTTCACAAGGCACTGTATAAGCTGTAATATATAGACTAAGTTGTCAATCAAGAAACCCAGAAATTCAGAGAGATGATCAGTTTTCTCTCATGGCTAGAAAGCTTTAAGTTCTCACCCTAACAATTACATAGGAGGTTGAGACTTGGAAGTTTTATGTTTTAAGTGTTCTTTGTACTTGTAATTGACTGCAAGTATTAAACAATTTTGTCAGTTTTATAAAGTAATAAAATTTGCAGATAAAATAGATCACATGATAAGAGAATGTAATGTTTAGAAGTTTATTTTAAAATTTTGAAATAAATCAACAGATGATAAATACATAATGCAGTTTAGAATTTAAATCTTTATATTTTGATATCAAATTTGTTATGAATACATTCACTGATAGTTAAGTTTTTAACTCTTTGACCATGGACTGGGTGGAATCCGTCCAGCTGGTAACCACGAGAGCAGTCATACTACAAGTTTTTATAATGTACTTGTGTCTACACGAAATTTTTGCATACTATCAGTAAACATTACAAGGCTTTCGTACACAGTATATCAAATTTTTTAATTACTTTTTAAGATTAGTTAAAGATTGGCTCATGCATTTTTTCTTTTCAAATGTTGTCTATCCAACATGGAAAATAATTTTGATTTTAAGATTAAAATACTTTTATGCATCATAAAATTGTCAATTTTCATTTGCAAAATCTCTATAACCTCCAGATAACTATCAAATGTTTTTTGAAAAACTTTATATTTTATCTATCATTTTCTCTTATCTTATTTCTGTATGGGTTTCACCCACCTCATAACCACCATAAAATATAATCTAAATTATAAATAAAAGTCCAGAGATGCAGCTTTTGAGTGAATTGTTTATTTTTATTTTAACGTTATGACCACTCGTGTGACAATCATCAGGTAACTGTCTGTTGTGTGAAATAGTGAAGAAATACTGTACAAGCATTTTGTTCCAATTTAGAAAAATAAAGGGGGACACCTGTGTTTTGATTTAAATTAGGTTATAGTTCAGGATTAATTAATGCTTCTTTTATTAAAGTTGTTCTCATTGCATAATATTTTCAAGTTGTTAATGTTAACCCTATCACCATGGGTATCCTTCACTGCTCATGACACAAGGTTTTAGTGTTGTTACATTCTAAATTTTATAAAATTACCTTTTGTTTATGTTATACCAATTAGAATAGCATAAAATCTTAGCTAATAGTAAATAAGTTTTAAGTTCTTAATTCTACAAGGCAATATTTAAAATAATTCTGAATTTCCCATAGTGTTACACACGTGACACATTTTCTCTATTTTATCCACCACTTCTTGGAAAAGTACAAAATTAAACATAAATTACTCACTATAAAATCTTCATTACTCTGGCAAATCTTATTTTTTATAGACTTCAATTTTGGTTGGCTACAGAGCTATCGAATAGAAAATAAAAAACCCTCTGACCACATCCACCTATCACATCCTCTCTCAGGATTTGTTAATAGTTCTCTCTTACATTTAATTATATATTACCTATAACCATTAAAATGTCAAGGTTTTCATCTATCAAATGACGTATTGTATAACATTATGTTCTGAACAGTTAAATGTCAATTTCACTCAGAGTACCAACATCATTCCTGTGTGAAAGTTAACGACGAGCTTGGATCAATTGTAATGACTTGTTGCGTAGTTAGAAAGCCAGAAAAATTTTGAAAGTGAATGGAATTTGTCTACTTCTTGCATGTTATTAGTTTATATTCTTTGGTGCATTATTTAATTTGATAAAAATTATTAAGTGCATTACTACCATTAGTATAAAAAAAAATTACAGTTAACTCTTCAACAATCGACAGTAAGAAACAAAAAATATTTCTTGTTTTTCAGGTTTATTCTTTTTGTATAATTATAATAGTAACTAAAATATAAAAGTAGGGATATTTTTAGGTTAGTTAAGATTAGATTAAGTAAAATAATAATAATAATATAATAAAAATGTTTCACAAGGCACATGCAAGCAGCTCGTGGGTAATGTGAGTTGCACATTCTCCAAGTGGTGTACAACTTATAATGGCATGGATAGTAGTTACACAATTCAATGGACAATAATACAATAAAATTTAATTATAAATAGATGTATACTATTATGAACTTACAGCTACTTAGAATAAATGAATGTAGTTTCATGTTACAATTTGAAGTCATTCTAGAATGAAAAAATGGTAATTTAGGTTTATTTCAATTTTTTTTTTTTTTTCTGGTCGTTATGAGGTAGGTTGAATGGACCGATTCCATTTTTAGATATGGTAGAGAAAATAACAGAAACTATAAAGTTTTACTGAATAAAAACGTTTGAAATGCATTTAGCAGGTTTCAGGAATTACACAAAGGAAATTTGAGATTTTTCAAATGAGCAAAAGTATTTTTAATTTTAACCTGAAAAATACTTTGCACATGGACTATTCAAAACAAATACTCAATATATTTTTGGACAAATCATTATTTTATTTTATTAAAAATACTTCATTAAAAATTATTTTTCGTGTGTGAAAGACTTGTAATATTAACCAAAATACTGCCAAATTTTAGTTGAAGATATACACCACTATATTGAA